ACACACACACACACACACACACACACATATATATATATATATATATATATATATATATATAATAATAATTGCATAAATATTATAATATATACTATACTATACTAATATATACTTATTGTATATATATTATAATATATATATATAAATGAAGGAGGAGGGAAGGTAACTACAATGATTAATAAACGCATTTATATGTTGTACAAAAAGTCACAAAATTCTAAGAAATTGTATCATTATGTACACAATCTTTTTTCTAATTGGAATTAAAAAGCGGTCAAAATGACTTCCTCGGGCAATCTAGTGTTAATAAGAGCATCGATCAGAGAAACAAAGGATCGGGAAGGAGAAGAATGTTGGGCGTCTCCTCGAGGCGCAGGAGGTCGAAGACGACGATGGTAAAACAATGCGGTAGTTCGATGCAGATTGATCGCGGCCAGCATCGAACAAGGAATCGGCGACAAGTGACGCGGACGCTTTTGATAATACGCTGCCGGGTGGAACGTCGATGCTCGAGGATCGTGGCCCGCATACGAACACGGTCTTGAATGGCAAGCAACGCGGAAATAGATTTCGTCGAGGTAACGGTTCCACCCGGGAATTATTTATAAAAACACGGAGTTTCTTTTGTCTTCGTCGTCGTTGGCAGCCGCGACTCGAAGAAGAAACCGGAGGCCTCCGCGAAAAGAAAGAAAACTTCGTGTCGCGCTCTCCTCCTCGTAAACTAGTTTCGACGAATAGACGCGACTTACCTGCATCATGGTGTGCGTTCGTGCGCGCGTGTGCCTGCGTTCGCAGCTTCGCGGTGGGCTCGGAAACCGTCTGCACTAACCTGAATTTCAGCCCTACCAGGCGATTTATATATTCTTCCTGGAGAGCAAACCCTCCCCACCACCCCGCTGGATATCATCCGTGATTGTTTTTTTATTTCCTTCGCTCCTACGCTTAGCTCCTCCGCGTCGTTTCCTCCCGACGGTCCGCCTCGATCAACGGGATACCTGCTCGTGATTCTTTTTTCTCTCCTTCTCCGTCGATCCTTTTCCTTCTTCTTCTGCGACGCGAGCATAGTAATTAGACGTTTCGACTCGCTCCGCGAAAACTCGTCGCCTCCAGCCCTACCAATAAAATACGAACTTCGCATGCCATGAATCGCGAAAAGAAAAGAAGGAAAATCGACGGCTCTATTATTAACAGATTAAACGCTTCGAGATTTCCGTTTTCATTAAGGCGAAGACGTCGTCCGTTCGCCTCCGAAGCGTTAAATTACCGTCGTGCGAACCGATCGATTCGACGCCGGCCAGATCGGCGACAATTAATCGCGCTAAACGACGTTAACGGAGGAAGAAGAACCGTTCGCGTGATTTGCAATCTTGGATGATCTCGTCCCGCGCAGATTATCGCTTGTTTTTGTAATTTTTCGAACACGAGCTCGAGCTCGAGCGAAGCTCCGAACAGGACCATTTTTTTCTTGCACCGTGCACTCGGTAATTGCGAGTCGTAAACGGTCTGGTTTTTTTTCTCGATCGCCTCGATCAGGATTTTCCTAAGGCGGTTTTACGGGGATGCCGCGAGCACGGCGGACGCGGGACGAGAATGGGAACCAGCGACGACCGGTTGACCGGATCGGCGTGTTCCAGGAACGACGATTGTAACATTTGGACTTGGACCGTTTTTTCATTGTTTCCAGCGAACGATGAATAATCCGAAGAGAGAGTAGGTATGTAGGTACGCGAACCGGTTGACGCGACGCAAATTTGTCGCTCGGAATATGAATGAAGGGAGTGGCCTGGCATCTTTGACACCCGAATCTACATTTCTAATGTCCGAAGGAGGTGCCCGTTGCCGTCCCATTTCGATACCGATCGATGATCGGCGAGAATCGGAACGCGTCGTCGAACCACTCTCGTTACCGTCTACATTGTACTCGGCGAGGATCGTTTTCGCTGTTCATCCGAGATGATCTGTTTGCGGTGTCCGGATCTGTGTTCGACCAGGGCCTCGGAAACGCTCGATTTCCGTTGATCGATTCGAGTCAGAGCAACGGAATCTCGTCAGTTCTATTTGCAGCGTCGAAAGGCTTTGCAAAAAAGAGCTTGAACGGTCCAAAAGTCCTCTGTTCGAGGATTAACCCATTGACTGCCACGCAAATTTAGCGCGTCTTGTCCTGGATGCCACGGTTTTATTTGAAAGAAAACATGAAGTTTTACAAAATATAATATTAAGTTATTGCTATAATATTGCAATGGCATTTACAGTATTTTTTGTTTGTGATAATCAATATGTTCTCTACACTATACAGGGTGTCCCAAAAATGTCTCGCAATCCGAAAGTGGCGGATTCCTCGGGTCATTTGAAGCAACTTCTTCCTTTACAAAAATTTTCTCCGAGGCACCGTTAACGAGTTATTAACGAAAAACAGTGACCAATGTGAGGCGAGATCAGCTGTCGCGAGGCGGCCGAGTCAACGGCGCCAGCGGTCGAGCGGTCGAATCCCAGTTCAGCTGGCGCGAGGCGGCCGAGCCAACGGTGCCAACGGTCGAGCGGTCGAATCCCAGCTCAGCTGGCGCGAGGCGGCCGAGCCAACGGCGCCAGCGGTCGAGGCGGTTGAATCCCAGCTCAGCTGGCGCGAGGAGACCGAGTCAATGAGCGGAACTGGGCTTCGTGCGCTGGTTGGCTGGGCCGCCTCGCGTCAGCCGTACCCGATTCTTATTGGTCACTGTTTTTCGTTGATAACTCGTTAACGGTGCCTCGGAGAACATTTTCGTAAAGCAAGAAGTTGCTTCAAATGATCCGAGGAACCAGCCATTTCCGGATTGCGAGACATTTTTGGGACACCCTGTATACATTTTTCAGTCATCCTTTCTAATAGTTCCTAACTCGAATAGCCATTTGTAGCCAATCTAAACTTGCAGCACCCATTACGAGATATCTCGTAGCTGTAAATTTTGGTACAGACGCTTACTACGAGATATCTCGTAGTTGGCAGTCAATGGGTTAACATCGATTTGCTGTTCGTCGAGGATCAATCGGTCTCGAAGTTCACTTCAAGCGGCCGCCGACGCGTTTCAGGCTACGTTTTGCGGATAACCTTCGTTTTTCTGGTCCGGGAGGAATCGTACCGTTGGTAAGAATCGATTTGCCTAATTTGGACCGCGCGTCGGTCGCCCGACGGGTCTAAAAGCTCTTTATCAGCATGATCAGCGAAGTTGGCCGGCCGAAAATGCGAAAGGCAACTTCCGACGGTGAGACTTGATGATCGGACAGGACCGAGGCTCACAGTCGGTGGAGGATGAACGATTGGGAAAGATGTCGCGAGGACCCTTCCGGGTAGGTACCGATTCTCGAATTATTTACTTCTCGAATTATCCCGGTGCCTCCATCTTGCGAGACACTTCTTTTCCCACCCGTTTCCTACGTAACTCTACCACGTGTCTTCGCGGTACATGCTTCTCAAGGTTAAGTTGTAAGAACCCATAAAAAGCTGCCGTAAACTTTTATTTGTCTTTCGTAATATACACAACCGTCCGGCGAGCTGATCCTCGAGCGACAGAGCGACGTAAAACCCGATACAAATCCGTCTTAATTACAGAAATTATTATTCCGTCGGCTTTTAAGTCCTGCTCGTGTTCAAAATAAAAAATAAAAGGTAAATACAGTGACCGTGGATGGTCTCCGTTCGTGTTACAAAAGAAATCGTGCACCATGTTTTGAGGCGCAATATTTATCAAATCTATGGTATACTCATTCGCGAGCAAAATTTTCCAACGCTTCCGCAGTCGTTTTAATTCAAACATTTTCAAGCGAGCATTTTAATTTTGTGTCTGCAACGTAACACGTAGGAGCATGTTAGGTTTGAATGAATGACAGTAGAGGCATCGGGCTTTAAATTGAGATCAGGTTTATTGTGTACGACTCGTTTTATAATAATAATAATAATTATTATAATTATATTTAATAATTATATAATATTATTATATATTATAAAACGTATAATTATTATTATTATATATATTATTATATTATATATNAATTAATTAATAATATATAATATAATAATATATATAATAATAATAATTATACGTTTTATAATATATAATAATATTATATAATTATTAAATATGATTATATAATATAATTATAATAATAATTATTATTATTATTATAAAACGAGTCGTAATAATAATAATAATTAATTAATAATATATAATATAATAATATATATAATAATAATAATTATACGTTTTATAATATATAATAATATTATATAATTATTAAATATGATTATATAATATAATTATAATAATAATTATTATTATTATTATAAAACGAGTCGTAATAATAATAATAATTAATTAATAATATATAATATAATAATATATATAATAATAATAATTATACGTTTTATAATATATAATAATATTATATAATTATTAAATATGATTATATAATATAATTATAATAATAATTATTATTATTATTATAAAACGAGTCGTAATAATAATAATAATTAATTAATAATATATAATATAATAATATATATAATAATAATAATTATACGTTTTATAATATATAATAATATTATATAATTATTAAATATAATTATAATAATTATTATTATTATTATAAAACGAGTCGTACACAATAAACCTGATCTCAATTTAAAGTTCAATGCCTCTACCGTCATTCGTTCAAACTTAACATGCTTCTACGTATCACGTTGCAGACAGAAAACTGAAATGCTTGCTTGAAAATGATAATTGGATATTATTATTATTATTATTATCTATCATATATGTGTAATAAAACCCACTAGCCTTAACAAAGGTACAAATTAAATTGATCAAAGATAATTCTTGCGAAACTATGGTAGAACTTATTCGACAATATAGCCTTAACACTTTCTGGAGCTATTCTAAGCACATAAATAGCAGTCTGAGACAGCTAGACTCGAAACAGACAGACAATAACCACAAGAAATCAGGATAAACTCATAAGCGATCCCTGAAATTCGAGCATCTGCTCGAAAAATTACCCGTTGCTACTTAAGAAAAAGTATAAAAAACGTAGCATCTTTTATATTCAACGACGAGTAAAGAAACAGGTATTTCATTTGAACGCGATTAAATTAATGAAACGGTTATCGAGCAACATTCTTGCGTTACGCGAGCCAGCGACTGTCGCGGGCTGGTCATATTTTTTGCGTGGAACGAGGTTCGAGGGATTTCTGCGAGGGAGAAAGACTGCTGAACGCTGCGAGAAACCGTGTCGAAAATGGCGGAGGAGTCGGTGGACCAGTTTGAACCGGACCGCCGTTTCAGGAATCGATAGGCGGAGAGGCTCGTGAGGCGTCGACTACGCTCGTGGCTGCTCGAGCGGCCACTAATCAATCCACGGGAGGCTCCGTGTTTATCAACAAGTGCCGCATACACCTGATTCGCGCGACACCCTTCCGTGACGAGTCGCGTTTTCTCGCGTTTCGTCGCGATCCGCGACGACGGTGTGTTGGTGCGTGTCTCGACGGGGTCTCGACGGAGTCGCCGAGGGTGTTCCGACGGTGTTACGACGGCGTCCTGGCTCGAAGGACGAGTCGACTCGACCCTCTGGTGTGTCCTTCGACGGCTCGCGATAGAGGAAAACGCCTCTCCGTGTGTGCTACCAGTGCGTACGAAGGCTGTTTCATCGCGCGGACACCTTGTTATCTCCTCTCTCTGTCTCTCTCTCTCTCTCTCCCTCTCTCTCCCTCTCTCTCTCTCTCTCTCCCTCTCTCTCTCTCTTCCATTCCGTCCCGCGTATCCCCGACTTTCTTCGCGTGCGAACGTTTATCGGAACCGACTCTATTAATAACGGGGTCGGTGTCGTTGCTCCGTTCTCGCCGGCGCACTCCTCCCCTAGGATCTCGTCGTGCTCGAGGACTCCGGGTCCTAGTCCCCCCCTCCTAAGCGAGCCGCCCGCGAGTGCACTGACTTTGTCGGATTCAGCGACAAAGTGTCGCGACCGCGACGAGTTCGCGGATGCGTGGGTGACCGACGCGAGGCTGGCCACCGTGTCCTCCGTTGATTCGCGCGTCTCGAACCGCGGCGGGCCCGTTCGAACCCGTTTCGAATCCGAGCGAGCTGTCACTTTCAGCCTGTCAGCGTACGTATCTAAAGATATCGACTGGATCGGTGGCCAAGGTCTCCTTAAAGCGTCGGCAACTTTTCCCGGGTGGTTCGCGGGACGGTTCGCCGCGCACGTTCCTGTCGGCTTAATATCTCACGATCTCACCTGTTTTTCATACGTTTAGCTTGTTCGGGATTAACGAGCGTTCTCTCACCGTCTCTTGGCAAGCCGGGTCCGGTTTCCGTCATCCCGCCACCCGTACGGTAAACAATCATTCCTCGCGCGACAAGATATTGCGACGAAACGCGGAGATTTATTCGCGGACCGAGCTAACGTGTCCGCGAGCGACCGCGAAGGTCGGGGCACCTCGAGCACCGGTTTCCCTTTGCAGATCCTTGGCGATCCTAGTCGACGCCTCCTCCTCGGGACGAGAATCAAAGGTCGAGCGAACGGACAAAGAAGTCGTATACGCGGAGCGAAATCAACGGTGACGATTAGCGATCGGGCGACGATGCGGCCGAAGGACACGCCGACGTGTTGGGTCACCTCTTGACCGTGCGCGACCCGTGGTGCCGCGAGATGCGGGGTCCGATTGTTAGGGGGGCGAGACCACGCGGCGGGGGTGGGATCGAAAATATGAGATAAAGGGGCGCGGTTTTCGGAAAGCGGCCGTCACTATAAATAGAGGCGCCTCGTGCGTGCGTGCTATGCTTTTAAACATAGTTTTGGCAGCGCGAAACGTCAAACCGCCTCGGAGTGGCAAAGCGCGTGGATCGTGCCGCGAATTTCACGGAAAACCTCTCGTGCCGGGTCTCTCTCGCGTTCCTACGATCGCTGGATCGTTGTCCCTCGGCCGGTGGGACGCGCGACAAGTTCGTTTGTTCGGCGCGGATCGGCTCGTTCCGAATACGAGACGAAGGGAGAATGACGGGTTGAAACCGCGGAGGCCGTCGAGTCGAAGAAACCTTTCGAGAGTGACGATCGAAAACGGAGCGGAGACACGCTCCGAAGCCGCGACCGGCCGGAAGAGAAGCCGCACAGAAGAAGTATGAAAAGTGCGTCGGAGGAGTGCGACAAGGTTAACCAGCCGCCGATGGAGGCGGATCAACTGGCGGACGACGAGAACGAGCAGGATGACCAGGAGGACGAAGAGTAAAAATCCCGCCACTAACAAAAACGCTCGCGCCCGCGTCCCGTGCGTGTGCTCGCAGCTCTGCGTCAGGTTTCCGGTTTCCGGTTCCCGTTCCGAACGCACATATCTAAAAGCCGTTTCTCGACTTCCGCACGCTTACACCCCTTTGTTCACGGGGGGATCATGCCAATTCGCGGTAACGTCGGCCAATTCGATCCTACGATACGTGCTATCGATGCGTGATCCATCTCATTTCTCGCCGCGAGTCTACGGCTGCGAATCTTTCTAATATTCCTTCAGCTTGTAAGCAAAAACTAATAGTAAGCAAACTAAACTAATTATATAATATATATAATATAATATATATATATATTATAATATATATATATAATATTATAATATATATATATAATATTATTATTATTATTATTATTATATATATATATAATATAATAAAATATAATATAATAATTACTGATGCTCAGATTGTCCACGAAAATGGATAATTTGGGAAGAGGAGATACGATTATTCGAGTCTTGTAGTCTGTTTTTATAATTGTTGAGAATCAATGACCATAAAAACAAATTGCCCATTTTCGTGGACAATCGGAGCGTCAATTAGAGAGACATTACTGAATAGTAATATTTCCTTTATTGACGCTCAGATTGTCCATTAAAATGGATAATGTGGGAAGAGGAGATACAATTATTCGAGCCTTGTAGCTCGTTTTTTTATAATCGTATCTTTTCTTCCCAAATTATCCATTTTAGTGGACAATCCGAGCGTCAGTAAGGGAGACATTACTGTATTCGAGCCTCGCGTCTCGTTTGCTGTAATTCTTGACGATCGATTGTAAAAATGAGCCGCGATGCTCGAATAATCGTATCTCCTCTTCCTAAATTGTCCGTTTTCGTTTACAAGCTGAAGGAAAGTATTTACTGAATTTTTTTCGCATCGTACCGTGTCGCTCGCGCGTATCAGTGTGAAGCGACGGAGCTGCATCGTTGCGAATACCTGTGCAACAGAGAGGATACGAGAGAAATTGGTACGCGGATTACGAGATTTGCGCGATGCTCGCGCCCTGTGCGCAGAGATCGAAACGATGGTACGGTAACAAATTCTATGTAATTCCTGTCGCTATCGCATTTTGCACCGGTCGCCTGTAACGTGTAGCTCACGCGGTTTCGAATGTGCCGCTGTATCACGTAATCGAGGATCACCCCGTGCACTCTGGTATCGAATTATCTCTCTTGGTAGATGCAAAGTGTTCACAAGTTTACGCCAACTTTCCTAGCGACGCAGCTTTCTCGGCACGTTTGGACGGATTCCGCGAAGTTACAGCTTCGAGGAACAATGCGCGGAGACGTTCCAGTAATGTATTTGTTAGACAGTTGGCCGGCCGGTCGGAGCAAGTTGCAAAATCCGCATTGGCACAGTCGCGACGCGGTTCCGGCCAAAACGCACACGGTGTGTCGCATTGTTGGAAACGCGAATTACAAACAACGCGCGCGCGCGCGGGCAAGCAATATTTATAGTCGACAAATTCTGTTTGTTCTTTTTTCGATGGTTGAACGTCGATTTCGCATGTCTCGACCGGACCGATACGGCTCGCGCGTGAACGGCGATTTAAAATAATCGTTTCAACCTTCGCCGGCATCCTTAATTAATTCCACGATCCGAAGTCTGTCGTCGCGAAAAAGAAAGACTCGTTATTAATTAATTCTGATTTATCGGTGGTTCTCGGGCGAACAGATTACGCGAGGGACCGCCCCGGCGACGGTCTTCCAATTAAAACGGCAACAAAAAGCGACCGGTGACTCTTCGGCAGATAAGGCGAGGGAGAACGGCGGTCGGCCGGCGACGCTAATTATCAATCGCCGCGTCGCGTCGGACACTGTCGGCGCCCTTCATTTTCGAGCGCCGCTTGTTATTCGGCCGCGTTAATTAACCTTGACTGGTGACGGTGACGCGCCGCGACACGGCTCGCTTTCCAACGTGTTCGATTCTCGTTCGAGCGACATTGGCCGAGTCGGTGACCAAGCCGATCGCGAAAGGAGATTGACTAGCATTATGCCAGAGCTGGCCGGGTGCCAATCGACTGTCGATTCGCGTCTCTCGAACGACGCTACGCGATGAGACGCCGCGCCGCGCCGCGCCGTGGTCCTCGCCTATCCCGTTTTTTCCCTCGATCTCAAAAAAAAACCGATTCGTGATTGCTCTATTCTGTATCGCAGATACGAAAGGTCTCGTAGGAGACGAATAGGACGAGCGGCCCGATCCTTTGGTTAAGTACAATGATGACAATGGTCTTTGATTTGTGCCCCCTGTCCGTATCAGGCCCCCTCATCGCTCGATTCGAACGATTCCACGTTTCAATTCACGGCGGTCTTTGTTCTGAAAATTAGCAGCCGCGAAGAAGCCGCTCTCGCGACGCGAAGATTAACGCTTGGAAAAGTGGACGTTTAAGCCGAGCATGCCAAAAGCTTGGACGGTAAACGTTCATTGTTTCGCAAGCACTCGACGGTGTTTGTTCTTTCTGTCTTCGGCGGAATGAGACGAGGGTAGAGCCGAGGTTGAGGGGGCTGGTCGACGACCAAGCAGAGGCTACCGACAGCTTAGGTCCACGAGATTGTCCGTCTTTCCCGCGGTGTACACAGAATCCGACGCGACAGACCCGAACAGACCCTTTGTTTCTTCAGCAGGAACATCTTTCGCTTGCTTCCCACAGCCTGCTTGCATGATCTACAAGTAATGTCTCCCTGATTGTCGCCCAAATTGTGCACTAATGTAGACAATTTGGGAAGAGGAGACCCGATTATTCGAGCTTTGTGACTCGTTTCTTATAATTACCGATTGTCAATAAGTATAAAAACGAGCCGAATAATCGTATCTCCTTTTCTCAAATTGTCCATCTTTGTGGACAATCCGAGCGTCGATTAGGGAGACGTTACTGTACATTCCACGTGAACGCCTGCTTGACATCTGCAACCCCTCGCCCTCTTATAATTGAGCTTTCATTGTTTGGTTTTGCGGTTTAGTGTGATGTCACCGAGCAACAAAGGCACGGACGAGGCTGTTGGGGACGTGTTGCTGGAGAAGCTCGTGACCTACGCGTCGAAGCCGCACAGCGAGGCGTTCAGAAACGTTGCCGCCAAGATCCACGCGCGCGTCATATGCACAGGTACATCTCTTTGATGCCTTATTGATCATTCTCGATAGAGAGATAATCGACGATTCTCGATCGCGTCCTTCCGTCGGCCCAGCGGCGAAATCATTGACGGTACAGTAATGTCTCTCTAATTGACGCCCAGATTGATCCCAAAAATGGATAATTTGGGAAGAGGAGATACGAGATTATTCGAGCCTAACGGTTTATTTTTATAATATAAATTGCCCACAATTATAAAAACGAGCCGCAAGGCTCGAATAATCATATCATATCTTCCAAAATTGTCCAATTTTGTGCACAATATGGGCGACAATTAGGGAGACATCACTGTAACTGCTCCTTTCCTTTTCTTTAGCGATAAAAAGAACTGCCAGACAGTTTCGAACTTTTCTCGATGAAACATCAATCCGAAGTTTCAATCCAAGAATATTAACCTTGTACACCTAACGATGTAAATGAGTTTATTTCGTTTCAAGATCAATGCAGAATATCTTGCACGACGATATACAGTAATGTCTCCCTAATTGTCGCCCAAATTGTGCACTATAATAGACTATTTGGGAAGAGGAGACGCGATTATTCGAGCCTTGCGGTTCGTTTTTTATAATTACCGATTGTCAATAACTATAAAAACGAGCATGGCTCGAATAATCGTATCTCCTCTTCCAAAATTGTACATTTTAGCGGACAATTTGAGCGTCAGTAAGGGAGACATTACTGTACATCTACAGCGAATCGAGTCGCTCGTTTCGCTATTTCTTTCGCAGCTGCAGCGATTAGAGTGCCTCTCCTCGTTGTCCATAGTTTCGCTGGAAGAAAACGAACGGGCTCGCATGGTCGCGCGACGCTCGAATGCGGCAGCGAAGCAGCGGCAAAAGTTTCTAAACGAGTCGAAACAGATTGGACACTTTAAGTCCCGGGCTCGTGCCGTTAAATCGCTATTTTTACCGCGAACGCTGGCTTCCATTTCGCCGGACTAATCACCAGAAAACTTGCACAATATTCGCTGCTGTTCGCGAGGTATCGCGAGCCGGCGATGCCGAGACCGCCTCGACACGCTTCCGGCCCCGTTTTCCAATTCGCTCGCCGTGTCGCAATAGGAACCGGACTAATTCGCAGCCGCACGAACCTCGACGGAACCGCTACCGTCGAACTCTCCCGGCGTGTCACGTAAGAACTTTCGTCGCCGGTTCGCCCAGAAAATGGCGAAATTCGCATTCGGGTCGCTTTCGAACAGGACCCGTTCCGCCGAGTTTCACCGAGCTTCCTGGTTCGCGCGCGGTGCAGCTATCTTGGTCCGCGCGCGGTGTCCTTGTTGAAGCGCGACGATGCAGAAGACGTAGACAACGGTCCGAGAGGACGCGAGACACGATCCTCGATCTCGCGCTTTCGATTTCTCGCATCCGTCGGAAGGAAAGCGCCGAGCGATCGTACGACGGACCTTCGTTGTCCTTGAAATGCGTTCCCGCGGCCGCGAGTTCGTTGTCTCGAGATGAGAATAAAATTCGATTTCACGGACACCCTGTATACAAGGTGATAAACAACGAGGCAGAAGCGCGAGAAAAAGAGTGCTCGGCTCCGAAACAATCGAGCGATACGAGGGCGATAAACGCCGGCCGTTCGGTCGCTCGCGTGCGACCGGATTATCTTTAGCGGATCATCGACACTGGTCTTCGGTAACGCGTAAATTTAGCCACGGTTTTATTTATCGAGCGGCGAATCGCTCTCGCGGGAAGCCGCGAGGCGATTCTCGGGCGGGAGAAAGATGACGCGACTCGCGGATTCGCGACGCTGGACTTTCGCGGTGCGGCGAACAGGTGTGCGAGCGACGCCGCGGCGTGGCAGGCAGACGGGTCGTTCGTTATTTTCGAAAAAAGCCGGCTACCCGCTCCCGATTACGCAAGGGATTTCAGGTACCGGCTGACGGATCGCTTGGACGAGCTCCAACGGACCGCAAAGCCGAACAATACCGCGGCTTCGATCGGCCCGAAGTGAATTGCGAGCGTGCCAATTCGATAAGGGCCCTCTGTCCCGCTCCTCGATATTTCTGCATAGCCGACGGACCGAGTGTCGTTGCACCGACTTAACGGAAGGCCGCGGATTTTATGGATTCATGGCGGAAGTATTAGGTCTACCGGAAAGTTCTGTCCGATAATGTCATTTCAAGTTTCAATCCATATGCACACGTTGATTTGAGACATATATGACTATCTCTCTTTAGCGTTGCATTTACACACATGTACTCTCCTAAATAAACTGAAACAAAGATGTCTCATGTCATTATTAAATGAGACGCGATCGTGAAAACATGGCTACCGATGATAATGCCAGGCCACATGCTGCTTTGGCGACTCGTTAGAAAATCGCAGAGCTAGGCTGGGAAATTCTGTCGCATCCACCGTACTCCCCAGACCTAGCACCCTCCGATTATCACTTGTTTCTCTCTTTGCAAAACTTTTTACAGGAAAAAGAATTCAAAACTGAAGCTGATGTCAACCAAGCACTAGTTGAGTTCTTCGCCTCTAAGAATAAATCATTTTTTAAAAATGGCATTTACAAGTTGCCATCACGCTGGCAAGAAGTCATAAGTAACGATGGAAAGTATATTCTACAATAAATATTATTAAATGTATGAAAATTGGGTTATATTTCAATTCAAAAACGGACAGAACATTCCGGTAGACCTAATATAAACCAAATGCGAAACTGTGGGATCACATTAAAAAAAAAGTTTAAATATAGTACTATTGTTTTTAATTCGTTAACCCATTGACTGCCAACTACAAGATATCTCGTAGTGGGTGCTGCAAGTTTAGATTGGCTACAAACGGTTATTTGAGTTAGGAACTATTAGAAAGGATGAATGAAAAATGTATATAGTGTAGAGAACATATTAATTATCGATAAAAAAATACTGTAAATGCCATTGCAATATTATATCGGTAACGTAATATAATATAATAATATTTTGTAAAACTTCATGTTTTCTTTAAAATAAAACCGTGGCACCCAGGGCAAGAGGCGCTAAATTTGCGTGGCAGTCAATGGATTAAAGCGACGGAGAACAGAGATCATTGATCATTGATTAGAGAACAGAGATACAGTAATGTCTCCCTAACTGACGCTTAGATTGTGCAGAAAAATGGACAATTTGGGAACAGGAGATACGATACCGGCTTTGTACAGTAATGTCTCCCTTACTGACGCTCGGATTGTCCACTAAAATGGACAATTTGGGAAGTGGAGCCTTGCGAATTCGAGCCTTGCGACTCATTTTTATAGTTACCGATTTTCAACAATTATAAAAAACGTGCTGCAAGGCTCGAACAATCGTATTTCCTCTTCCTAAATTATCCATTTTAGTGGACAATCTAAGCGTCAGTAAGGGAGACATTACTGTACTATGTTTTTATAATCGTTGACAATCGGTAACTATAAAAACGAGTCGCAAGGCTCGAGTTCGCAAGGCTCCTCTACCCAAATTGTCCATTTTTGTGGACAATCTGAGCGTCAATTAGGGAGACATTACTGTACTATGTTTTTATAATCGTTGACAATCGGTAACTATAAAAACGAGTCGCAAGGCTCGAGTTCGCAAGGCTCCTCTACCCAAATTGTCCATTTTTGTGGACAATCTGAGCGTCAATTAGGGAGACATTACTGTATGTAGGGTAATGGAGTTGCTTACTGTGGGGGGACCAATTGCTGTGCCATCGATTTGGTTTTTCGGGCATAATTAACTTCATATTGAATTAACACTAAACCTACCACGGTCAAAATGACCGATTTTTTATTTTTTCTTCGTGGAAAATGATTGAATAAATTATATTATTGAAACAAGTCTCATAATTAAAACTTTACGAAATCCAAGTGAATCCTACCTTTTTACTCTTATGAGTCAATGCACGCTAATCATCATTACAGGTCGGTTGGTTTAGTGTTAATAAGACATATTAAATTTATTTACTCTTTTATTCTATTGACTTTTTAGTAACAACATTCGCTATGTCTTGTTCGACGAGTATAAAGTTAACCGAATCCGCTATCTTTATAATTAACGCAGTTTTTTATTTTGCATTAAAATTCTTAGTGGCCGAAGCAACGCGACGTTCGAGTTTCCTCTTCGGCCTTCTACCGTCTCGACGAACACGTCGAAACAAGGAAACCGAGCCGAACCTTGAATTCCACGCGAATCTTTTAAAAAGTCGCACGCGCGACTTTTCTTGGCTCCGGCGGTGAATTTTTGAAACTGTTTGTCTGTCACTGGCAGCTCCGTCCTGCGCGGCCTGTCCACTTCCGCGCGGACATTGTTTACCCACGATCGCAAATATTTTCTTTGAACGCGCGTATGCCCCGGCCTGACGCGGCAGATTTCAAACGTAAACATTATGTTTTCAAGGAACGTTCCTCTTCCGTTCGAATCGAGCCGGCGCAGCCACTGGAAACGAATAATTGAAATTGCCCTTGACGAGATCGGTCTCTCGATGGGTGGTTGGAAACGACGGAGACGAGCCGAGCAATTAAGTTCGACACGCTCGGCCGAAGTTATTGAATAATTACACGTGTAGGAACGCGTTTACACACGATTACATACTTGTCACCGTCGAGAGGGAACAGTCCGTGGCGCGAGACGTTCGCTCGGCCAGGAATGCGGTGGCAACCGATAGCCCTGTTCGAGCAGCCTGTTTGGCATGAAATGTTCAATGTTCACTTCTTTTTTTCTTTCTTTCGCGGATAGAGCTGTGTTCATGGCATTGGGAGCGATTGGCCTTGCGTCAAGTTTGAAACGGGAGCCACGCGTTTTGCCAATGCTTCGCTCGGCGATCGCGCCGGGAGCATTGTTGCTCGCACACCTGCCCGCCCCGTTATTTATTATAGCAGGGTCGCTGTAACGTCTGGCACTGGGAAGTCCCACGGAGATTTATGTTGCGCTCGGTTATCGTTTCGCTTCGTCGTTCCGGCGGACGGTCGTTTCCCGATCGAAGGCTCTTCGACCTCTGCCGCATCGCTTCTCGCGCGTCATTCTGCACGAGGCTCGCGAAACCTTTCGCGAGATCGTTCATACTTGTCGAGTGTTTTCGATTCGACGCGATCGCCGACGATGGAACTTTCTAAGAAACACGAAAATTCGAACGTCTGCCGTAGATCCGTCGCGAACAAGTACAGTAATGTCTCCCTAATTGACGCTCAGATTGTCCACAAAAATGGACAATTTGGGTATAGGAGCCTTGCGACTCGTTTTTATAGTTACCGATTGTCAACGATTATAAAAACATAGTACAGCAATGTCTCCCTTACTGACGCTTAGATTGTCCACTAAAATGGATAATTTGGGAAGAGGAAATACGATTGTTCGAGCCTTGAAGCTCGTTTTTTTATAATTGTTGAAAATCGGTAACTATAAAAACGAGTCGCAAGGCTCGAATTCGCAAGGCTCCACTTCCCAAATTGTCCATTTTAGTGGGCAATCCGAGCGTCGGTAAGGGAGACGTTACTGTACAAAGCCGGAATAATCGTATCTCCTGTTCCGAAATTGTCCATTTTTCTGCGCGATCTAAGCGTCAGTTAGGGAGACATTACTGTAGACCGCAGATTTTGATGCGCTTTCGGTACGAGCCGCGATCGCACACGTAGATAAACTTTCTATCGACGGGTTTCGCCGTTGACAACTATAATTTTCAGATCGACGAGTCCGCGACCGCACGCTCGAGAAACTATGGCGCAAGAATTCCAGGGCGATGGAGATATTCGTCGCGACGCTCAAGGTGGGTGGCACTTAATTGAATCGTCGTTTCCTCTCTCTCCCCTTACTCCCACCGTCGTAACATCCACCGCGAACTATCCGCGATCATCGTTCGCATCACGCTAGGAATTCGCAACGGCTGCATTACCGAAACGAAACTGGCGAAGTTTCGTTCGCCGCGGTTGAAACACCCCGTGCAAGGCTGGTTCTCCGCTTTGTAACAGAACAATAATGCCGGTGCCGTAGTTCTAGGGGCGAAAGAACCCCCTAGAAACGGTTCGGCTGGAAAACAAATCGCGTGCCGATAAACACCGGTGCGAACTCGGTTGGCGTTTTCGCGTATTCGGGTGACCGCGAGCCCATAGTTTTCTCAGCTGTCGACACTCGATCGACACTCCGCGGTGCCAATTAACCATGCACCGCGAACGAATCTGCACGGAATGGCGTGGTTAAGTCGCATCAGCGTGCGGGGACCTCGTTGTCTATCTGGTCGACGATGCGATCCCCGCAACATGCGAAACTGGAAATCCGTTCGTTCCATTTTCTGATAAGTGTTGCACGCACGCGGCTCGACCCGGCCCGGCTCGGCCTAATTATCGTCCGTGGCATTTAGGCGCGTCAACTATCTCTCGATCGCTCGGAAACGCCAGCCAATTCGAGCGGCTCTGGCTCGCGTTTCCGCTTTTCATCCCTGATCCCCACAAATAACCGCGAGAAACAGAAGAGCGAGCAGCTTTTCGGTATTAAACGAGCGTATATCTGTTTGCCGCAGAACTGCAAGGATCACGCGATCAACTACAGCATCGCCAGCATACTGCACGAGTGCATAGCGTCCCGCATCCCCAAAGGAAAGACCAAAGGGCCGAAGAACAAGAGCACGAGTAACTGCGATACAATTTACAACAAATTCTCCCTAAATTGATCCTCAGGGAGGAGATACGATTATTCGAGCAGCTTAACCTTTTGCACTCGAGTGATGACTCAGAGACATCGCTAAAATTTGTTACATCACGTTTTATGATAATTTTTATATCAATAAAGTTTAGATTTAAAAAATTGTTAAGAGTGTAACTGTTGCGTGAGTCCCAAGAGTCAATTTCATATGCATAAAATACATTCTATCATATAAAATAAAAAGATACTATAAGTTAGAAACATGACACACAGTTAAAATAGTTTCGAGTGCAGAGGGTTAAGATTATTCAACGGCTATAAAACCGAGCCACGAGGCTCGAACGATCGTACCTCCTCTTCTCGAATTGTCCAATTTTGTTTCGAAGCCGAGGGTCTAATTAGGCAGAATTTTCTGTACTCGACAGCCGCGTTCAATGTCCAGAAGCATTACAAGCCTTAACCAGTTAAGTGTGTTCGACGACTATGTCCATCACGGAGATGTGGCAGAATTTTGTGTCACGACGATTATATCCGTCATTCGTAAAATTTCGTTACAATTTGACATTTAGGTTGTAATTCTGGCGAAAACTAAATTATATTCGTAAATTTTAACACTTAGCCAACCGAATGGGGAGATCTCCCCGTTTTAAATTCAGTCGATTGATGACCGAATGGATGATTTTAACGAAAGATTAAGAACGATTGCTTAATTTAATTAAGATTTACAAGAGATACGAATGCTGAAGAAGTCAATTGATGTCATATAAGTTTGTGCTTCGTAATTTTGTATTTAATCGAATGAAATATTTTAATTTTATACAAATTTTTGAGGTTTCTAGCGCGGTCGTGGAAGTGTTAATATGATAAAAATGTTTAGAGGTCAAGACGAAACGAAACAAACGAATGAAAATTATAAATAATTTCAGTTGGATTCATAACTCCCTGAGAGCTATCTTTGTTAATAGAGGTCAAGACGAAATGAAACAAACGAATGAAAATTATAAATAATTTCAGTTGGATTCATAACTTTCTGCTAGCTAACTTTGTTAATAGAGGTCAAGACGAAATGAAATAAACGAATGAAAATTATAAATAATTTCAGTTGGATTCATAACTTTCTGATAGCTAACTTTGTTAATAGAGGTCAAGACGAAATGAAACAAACGAATGAAAATTATAAATAATTTCAGTTGGATTCATAACTCCCCGAGAGCTAACTTTGTTAATAGAGGTCAAGACGAAATGAAACAAACGAATGAAAATTATAAATAATTTCAGTTGGATTCATAACTTTCTGCTAGCTAACTTTGTTAATAGAGGTCAAGACGAAATGAAACAAACGAATGAAAATTATAAATAATTTCAGTTGGATTCATAACTTTCTGACAGCTAACTTTATTATCGCGTCACACGCCAATGGGCGCTTTGCAAAGAGATCGCCACAGTTAACTGGTTAATTCAATTTCTTCTCGATTCGATCGGTTTTATAGAAGCATTTCCGTTTCAACGTACATACTTCGAAGGACGTGTAGCGGGACAGCGAACGTGTTAAGCTAATTTCGCGTTGCATGATCGACCACCACCCTTAATTCGCTACCCTTCACAGAGTCCAGCAGTCGAATGGCAGTGATGCAACTGGTCAACTTGGGCATCACGCAAGCCCTAGTTAAGCTTCTGATTAATCTGCAACACGCGGAGACCGTTTCCACCGAGGTCCTCACGCAGGAAGTGGTCTGGATACTGAGCCAGGTGAGAGGGCTTGTTTCTCCGTGAAAAAATGATCGGTCGATCGTCGTGCTAATTTCGTATCCCTGTCTCAGGTGGCACAGGGGGACCAGAAGTTCGCGTCGAAGATGAAGCTGTTCAACACCGTGAAGGTGTTCCACGTTTCGCTGAAACAGCACTACAACAACAGCAGGATCCTGATGCCGTTGCTGTGGATTTTAAAGAGCCTCGCCAGAAATTGTACGTGATCCCGTCGATCCTTTATCGTTGTCGCACGCTATTCGTATCCGTCTGAATCCGACATGTTCTCTGCTCTTCAGCGTACACGCTTCAAGCGCTGGTGAAGGACGGGATCGCCAGCACGTTCGAGAAGACGTTCGTCTCGGTCGGCTACAGACCCCACCTGAAACTGAGGTTGCTGTTAGAGTGCTTCAAGCATTTCACAACGAACAGTACGTGCGTGAAACTATTTCGCCTAACCTAGAAGGTGAATTCTATTGTCCGATTAACGAGCGTTGAATTCGATTCGCCATCAGAGCTGCTCTGCACGAAGTTCGTCAAGCTGGGCATGATGTATCTGCTGATGCGTATCTTCGACAAATGGGAGCGACACGACGGCTACATGAGGCTGAAGATCTGCAACTGCGCGGTGACCACGATACAGCATCTCTGCGTCACGAGTGAGTTCGTTCGCGACCTTTCGAGCCCCGCGACACGTACCCGGCCGGAAGTCGACACCGGGCGAAAATATTACGAGACGGACGGTTTTGTCAGCGAGCGTATCGATCGGCCGGAATGATCGCTGGTTTCCATCGGTTCTCCTCCCATTAGCATTCGTCTCCAGCATTCGATCTTTGTTGCTCGTCGACGTCTCCGCGAACGCAATTCCATTGTACGGCGGTTCTCCACCTATCGCGAGCCATGAAAATCACCAATTACGCTCCGACAGTCGCGGGGTATACGATCCTAAACGCCGCGGTACGCTGAATTTATGTCCCCGGGGGTTTGTTGCTCGCGCGGAGCGGTCATTACACGCGGGGCCACTTTTTGCTCGTTGCAGAAGAAGGCAGGAAGGCTATCAAGTGGAACAATGGCCTGCAAGTGTTGTACCGGTTCTGCTGCAACTGTCCCGAGGATAAAGCCTACGACTGCCTCCTGTCGCGCATATGCGGGATAATCAATCAGTGCCTGGAGAGGGAGCTGCCCGTGCCCGAAATGTTTCCGGCAAGGTGAACGAATCCGTCCAAGGCCGGTCCATGATGTCGGTAAACGCGATCTGTCGCGCGGTCCTCCCGAAATTCCCGCGACGCTGAAATCTCATTCGAACGAACCATTCGAAACAAACTGTCTGGGTTGCTAGGCAAATAGATCGAATCGATCTCGAGCCGTCTCTGATCGTCGATCGAGAGCTTTGCTTTCGAACGGCGATGGAACAGCCGACCAAGAATCAATTGCCCCGATGCGAGAAATCGGGGAATTTCAAAACGGTTTTCCAAGTTGTACACTGAAAATTCGCTGGCACTGATTTGTCTTGGTGAAACCGGACAGTGAGAAAGGTTGACGGACGAAACAATTTCTCGATGCTACTCGAAGAAATCTGATTCGAACGAACCATTCAAAACGAACTATCTGGGTTGCTGGACTAAAAAACTGTCGCGCGGCCCTCCCGAAATTCCCGCGACGCTTCGTCGAATCGATCTCGAGCTGTCTCTGATCGTCGATCGAGAGCTTTGTCCTCGAACGGCGATGGAACAGCCGGCCAAGAACCAATTGCCTCGATGCGAGAAATTAGGGAATTTCAAATCGGTTTTCCAAGTTGTAAACCGAAAATTTGCTGGCACTGATTTGTCTCGGTGAAACCGGACAGTGAGGAAGGTTGACGGATGAAGCAATTTCTCGACGCTGCTCGAAGAAATCTGATTCGAACGAACCATTCAAAACAAACCATTCGAGTTGCTAGACAAAAGAACTGTCGCGCGGCCCTCTCGAAATTCTTGCGACGCTTCGTCAAATCGATCTCGAGCCGACTCTGATCGTTGATCGAGAGCTTTGCTTTCGAACGGCGATGAAACAGCCGACCAAGAACCAATTGCCCCGATGCGAGAAATCGGGGAATTTCAAAACGGTTTTCCAAGTTGTACACTGAAAATTCGCTGGCATTGATTCGTCTCGGTGAAACCGGACAGTGAGAACGGTTGACGGATGAAGCAATTTCTCGATGCTGCTCGAAGAAATCTGATTCGAACGAACCATTCAAAACAAACTGTCCGGGTTGTTAGACAAAAGAAGCTGTCGATGCTAAATCCGAGGTTACGCGCTTGACCGTCTCCAGAATTTGGCACTCTGCCAATGCGCAGTACAATAGAGGACACGTTCGTGCGGACGTTCCACTTGGAAAAAAAAGAAGGAAGGATAACGCGTCCTCTTTCTCGCGTAAACCGCGTATCCGCAGTACGATGATCGATCGTGGATCGGTTGGATTTTCGATTCGTCTTCGGGTCTCAAAATTTTCACCAAATTTTGCGAATCGATGTCAGCTGGTTCGACGTAGAATTCGCCGAAAGGTCGGCCAACCTGTTCGACGAAGCTGTTGGTCGGCTGTTTCGTTCGAGCATGAATTAAGAGACGATCCTGATAGCTCGAGAGACACCGGGCTCGTTGACACTGAGAACCAAGAGCGTTCTACTTGTTCGTGCTGCCAGGTCTTTAATCATACATTAAAGTGTGTCGAAAGCGTCCTCCTCCCGGGAAAACTGGACCAGTTGCGCAACCCGAGGCATCGACCGCCGCGAGGAATCGATCGCGAATTCGCGTGCCGTGAGAACATCGACGCGAACGAGCCGATGCTGCACGACGGATTTTTTTTACAGGTTCGTGTTGCCGGAGGCGAGCGTCCGGCCTAACAGCGCGGAGAGCGGCAGCGACATCGACAGCCAGGTGCGTATTTTCGTCGGGCCGGGCGATGATGTAACGCGTGAAACGTTACACTCGCGGCCTGTCGAAAACGTCCGAGTTTTTTCCTCCTCCCCCCTGGCCCCGTCTACGTACGCGATCCGATCTGGGAACTCCGGCCGTTGATTCCAGGCGAACAGCGTCGCGTCCCTGAGCCGGCTGTACAGCGACCTTGACTCCGGCGACGACGAGGAGAGCCAGAACTCGAGGTCGAACGAGAGCGGGATGCACGCGGCCGACGAGGTGGACGAGAGCAAGTTCTTCGCCGGCGTGTTCACCGCGCAGAGGACCGAGGAGGAGCTCGGCGAGTACGGTTTTCGCGCGATAACCGCGTTGCCCTCGACGAATCTCGCAGACTCGTCAAAAGATGGAACTTTGCAGGTACACGGTGTTCTTCAAGGAGCTGGGCAACCTGCCGCAGATGTGCAAGTCGTCCACGGAGAGGCTGGAGACCGGCGAGCCTGCGGAGAACAACGTCAAGTTGAGCTCGAGGGCGAAGAGCAGCAAGACGACGATAAGGGACGCGATGAAGGACGCGATGAAGGACGCGACGAGTAAAACGTTCTCGCCGGAGAACGGGACCAAGGGGATCAGGATGTTCGAGGACATGCCGGCCAGCTTGACGGACCAGCAGGCGTACCGTGAGCTGGCCGGCAGAGTGAAGAGCTTGATCGATTTCACGGAGGTCGCTTACCCCGATTTGGTGGGCGGCGACGCGCTCGGCAAGGAGGAACCGCTGAACCAAAAGGACCGATGGATCTGTCGCTCGAAGCTGCTGACTTGCGTGGAACGCGGCCTACACGGCGGCACCCTGATGCAGGAAGTGGTCTACGACCTGGACGCGATCGCCACCAGGATGCCCGGCGACGACAAGATCTCGTACAAGAAGCAGATGGCCAGCTACGACGAGGTGATGGTGGGACTGCGAATCGGCCACACGAAGTCCTTGTATTTCTTCTCCGCTTTCGAGAGCGGGAACCTGAGGAAAGCTATTCAGGTACAATTCCGCGTGGTTTCTCGAAAAGCCCCCCGAACCTTTGACCGTTCGTTCCTCTACCAAACTCTTCGGTATCGGGTCTCTTGTAGGTAGGCCTGAGAGAGTTCGATCTGATCCTGACGCCGGACGTGAACAGCGGCTCCAGGCACCAGTGGTTTTACTTCAAGGTGGCGAACATGGACGCGAACGTGCCGTACACGTTCAACATCATCAACTGCGAGAAAGCGAACTCGCAGTTCAATTTCGGCATGAAGCCGATCCTGTTCAGCGTGACCGAGGCCGAGCTGGGCAGGCCGGGCTGGGTGCGAACCGGCGCCGACATCTGTTACTACAGAAATTATTACCAGAGGCCGGCCAAGGGGAGGAATTACTTCACCATCTCGTTCTCGGTGACGTTCCAGCACGAGAAGGACATATGCTACCTGGCCTACCATTTCCCCTACACGTACACCCAGCTGATGGTCAACATTTGGAAGTGGACCAACAAGGTCCCGCCGAACACCTATTTCCGCGCGGAGACTCTCTGCGAGACTCTCAACGGGAACGAGAGCCCACTGTTGACCATCACCTCGACGGACTCCAAGAGCAACCCCATACAGGTTCATATCTTCGCAGACTCTTGGCATGACTCTATAGATTTTAACACAGGCATCCTGAATCGGCGGTATCCGACGTTATTTCTCCGAAACGATTGAAATCCGACGACCGGTGTAGGATCGATGTCAAATTTCTACAGTGGTATTCGAAAATTATGGTACTTCCGGGAAATAGGGGGTCCCCGAGGTCATTTGAAGTAACTTTTTCCTTAGCGCAAATGCAATCCGCCGTTTCGTTTGCGAGTTATCAACGAAAAAACGGTGACCAATGAGAGGTGAGATCGAGGCGGCCGAACCAATAAAGGGAACTGGGATTCGTCCGCTTGGGTCAGCCGAGCCGGCCTCGCATTGGTCAGTGTTTTGCGTTAATAACTCGTAGATAAAACCGCGGATTGCATTTTCGCTAAGGAAAAGGTTTCTTTGAATAACTTCGGGAACCTCTCATTTCCCGGAAATATCATAATTTTGGGCGCCCTGCATAAACATAGACGATTGGAGAAGGAGCAATTGGCCCGCTGCGATCGTCGCAGCTCTATTCACGGTGGAGCCGTTTTAAGTATTGTCTGAAGACGCCGTTTAGATTCGTAGCCAGTTCTCGAAATTGTTCGCCATCGTCGATTCTCAAGGAGATCGTTCTCGAAGAAAAAATCTCAAAAATCTCAGATCTCAAATCTCTATGAATCTAGTTGGCGTCGTAAGACCACGCTCAAGACGATCTTACAAATACAGTAGTGTCTCTCTAATTGACGCTCAGATTGTGCACAAAAATTGACAATTTGCGAAGAGGAGATACGATTATTTGAGCCCTGCAGCTCGTTCTTCCAGTTGTTGAAAATTCGTAACTATAAAAATGAACCGCAAGGCTCGAATAATCGTATCTCCTCTTCGCAAATTGTCCATTCTTGTAAACAATCTGAGCATCAATTAGAGAGACATTACTGTAATACTCGATCACGAATACGGTAATGTCTCTCTAATTGACGCACAAATTGCCCAGAAAAATGGACAATTTTGGAATAGGAGTTACGATTATTCGAGCCTTGCAATTCGTTTTTATAGTTGTCAACAATTATAAAAGACTCGAATTACGAGGCTCGAATAATCGTATCTCCTCTTCCCAAATTGTCCGGAAAAATGGACGATTTGGGGAGAAGAGATACGATTATTCGGGCCTTGCAATTCGTTTTTACAGTTGTTAACAATTATAAAAGACTCGAATTACAAGGCTCGCATAATCGTATCTCCTCTTCGCAAATTGTCCGTTTTCGTGGACAATCTGAGCGTCGATTAGGGAGACATTACTGTATACAGCCGTGAGATTCATAATGGATCTAAGGACCGTTCAACGCAGTAGCAAAATGAGAAAAATGTCTCGCGAGCCAACAATTCAGGATGCCTGTACAAACCGCCTCAGCATCTCCGAAAGGAAAAGCTTCGGTGATCGAAGCGCAGCAGATTCGTCAGCGATCGTTGCTCGTTTTCAGAACCGTAAGGTGGTGTTCCTGACGTCGCGGGTGCATCCGGGCGAGAGCAACGCCTCCTGGGTGATGCACGGCACTTTGAAGGCGTTGTTGAGCAACAACGCGTACGCGTCGAGCCTGCGGGACGACTACATCTTCAAGATCGTGCCTATGCTGAACATCGAGGGGGTCGTGAACGGTTGGTGAGTAAAAAACGCCGAGATCCAAACAGTTCGTTGCGCTCTTCTCGCTTCCGGCATTGGGGGTTGAGAATGAATCGTGCACGTAAGAATGTACTCGTACCTTTATTAATATTCAAATTACACAAAGTTACATATTCGCGGCGTGTTTACGCAATGATATCCGAGGTGGATCCATGGTGACACGATCACTGATCGTAGGCGGTTAAAGAATCATTTCGAAACTACGCGTGTGCGTCGGTTGGCCGTACGTCTGGATGACCGAAACGTTAGCAACAGCGTGCCCGTCCTCCTCGTATCCTCCGTTCGGTCATAAAGAGAGAGAGAGTATAGGATATATGTCGGCGAACTATGTCCCCTCTCCCCCGTATCCGAACGTCGATCGCAGTCCGATCGAACCGCCGTGAAACGTTTCATCTTGCGGACGTACGAATGAACGTTACCTAAGGATGATTACTTCGATACGTGTGCGTGTTTGTGCGTGTACGTTTGCGGCACGTATGTGTATGTGTGTGTGTGTGTGTGTATGAGGGTGATCGAGTGGCGCCGGCGGACTCCCAACCCTACACCAAAAAGACGAAGTTGGTCCAGCTGGCGATGCGCTAACGGAGACGGCGAACTCTTCCGTTCTACAATTTCGATGCCTGAGATCCCGCACGGACGCGAAGAGTCCTCGCGCGTTCATCGTTTAAATTGTTCCTACGAGCTACACGGATCAGCGAAATCAGCTAATAGAAGACAGATACGCGGCGAAACAATGGAAGGATCGATTGCGCGCGACGCGATTCGACGAGATACGCGTCCGCCAGCGCCACGGGGATACGTGCTTGATTTATGGACCGATCCGATCGTGTTAAATGCCCCTGCGAGAAACGATGACGTCGGGGCTCTGTCCTCGAGAGTCCAACGGCCGGAGTCCAGGCCGTCTATACTAATTAGAAACGTTTCCTTGAGCAAATTCTCCGCGAATAAAAGCTGCGCGAGCGCTTTGCGAGCGCGCTTTGCGAGCGATTCCGAACGATCTTTTGCTTCTCCAAGGGGATCGAAACGAGCACTGGACGCGCGAGTTCCTTCGATCAGAACGAGCGAGATGAGCGATGAGAGGCGCGAAACGGCGATAAGACCGTTCGCTGGGTGACACGATATACACATGATAAGAACGTACATAATACAATCTAAACTTCTCGGATCTCCCTCTACCGTTCTCTGTTCACTTATCGACGAGTAAGACTTGCGTACCAATTGCATCTCGCGGGCCGACAAACTCGTTGCTGTCCAACCGGAAGCAAACGAATTCCGTTCGACGATGAAAACACGATCGGTTTGCTTCCGCGTACATCGAGCTGTCCGGAGTGTTCGCGCCGATCAAAAGTTGTATGGCGATTAAATTGGCGGACAAATATCGAACGATCTTCCCCGAAGCTTTTCTCTGCCATACATGTTAAGCGTTACCGTCGATGGCACCCCGGTCAAAGTGTTACATCGCGATCGTTCGCGTCCACCGACGCGTCGTGGAAGAACGGAGCGATCGAACGATCCGGACGATCCAACGTTATCCGCAATACTTTCGCTGAGAAAAAGCTACTGCCCGACTATCGAGAAAGATTCGCTGGACGACAGGAGTCGATCGCCGCGCGACGTGCAATTAGGACTTGGCGTGACGCGAGAAGACGGTGCCTAAAGTGTTTAAAGCGTTACTTGGACGGAGGATCTAATACTTTGCCGTTGGTGCGCACTTTAATGTTGTACCTGTAGGCCGGTTCCGCGTCCGGCAGGATCGTGCTGCTGTCGTCGTCCTGGTCCTTCATCATCGACGGCTCGGCCGCCGGCTCCGGCTGGTCGTTGACGTAATAGTCCTGCACGCTGTCGTACGGGCCGACGGTGTGGGCGTCCTCCAGCCCGTTGTTGGGCGACTCGGTCTCCGACTGCGGCTCGAGGTAGTCCGGAGACTCGCGGTGCTCGACCTTCATGTCGGTGGAGGATCTGAGCGACGAACGGTGAACTTCCCGTGTCTGCAGGCCCTCGAACACGTTCTCCTTCCTCGCCTGAGGCGCGGGGCTGTCGGTGAACAGGCTGGTGATATCCGGCAAATGGTCGGGCCTCGTGTTCTCCAGTTCACCGTTCGTCGGCTGTTCCCGGTTGTCCTCGGTGACGACCGGCGAGGACGTCGACTGCGGGATAGACGGCGGCCTGTCGGACGCGGAAACGGCCGTGGTGATCAGCCTGCTGACGACCGGGTCTTCAGGTGATTTCTCGTCGACGGAGCTGCTCCCCTCTTCCGGTGTTCTGTTCTCATCGTCGGTGTTCTCCTCCTGCGCCCCGTCGTTCTCATTCCCCAAGCTACTCTCCTCGTGGTCGTCGACCTGGTCGTCGCTGGCTGGCGCCGAGGTGGTTGTTATGTAGGGTCTGCGATTTCTGGAAATTGGTGGCAGGACTGAAGGCGCCTGGCGGCTCGGGGGTCACCGTCGAAGCCATAGATCTTCGAACGAAACAGGAAGGAAAGACTTCCCTCGTTCGTGGTGCATGGGCGTTTCGCGAGTTTGGTGATTAGGGGGCGGGGGGTGGTGGTTTCGAAACTGTCAGTGGCTGTGTTCTGTGACGCGGGCACGGGGCGATCGGTCAAGATCACCCACGCGAAAGTACGCAGAGACTTTGTCTGTTCCTTCGAAACCGGTGACGCACGCAGGTGTCCCAAAAATGTTTCGCAATTCGGAAATGGGGATTCCCGAGGTGATTTGAAGTAACTTTTTCCTTAGCGAAAATGCAATCCGCGGCTTCGTTTACGAGTTATCAACGAAAAACAGTGACCAATGAGAGCCCAACTCAGCTGACGCGAGGCGGCCGAGCCGACGGCGCCAGTGGTCGAGCGGTCGAATCCCAGCTCAGCTGGCGCGAGACGGCCGAGCCGACGGCGCCAGCGGTCGAGCGGAGCCGAGCTTCGCGCGCTCGTTGGTTCAGCCGCCTCGCGGCCAACCGAGCTNGGGCCAGCCAACGGGGCCCGCGGGCGAGACGGTCGAATCCTAGCTCAGCTGGCGCGAGACGGCCGAGCCGACGGCGCCAGCGGTCGAGCGGAGCCGAGCTTCGCGCGCTCGTTGGTTCAGCCGCCTCGCGGCCAACCGAGCTCGCCTCTTATTGGTCAGTGTTTTTCGTTGATAACTCGCAAACGAAGCTGCGGATCGCATTTTCGCCAAGGAAAAAGTTACTTCGAACGCCTCAGGAACCCCAATTTCCGGATTACGAGACATTTTTGGGACACCCTGTACAACTCACTCTCGATTTCAGAGACATGCCCGCGCCTGCTGTGTGTTAGTTGCGTGTGTTGTTAGAAGCATTATACAGGGAAAAGCGTGGAACCACTACCAGAGGTTACTGCGGACTGGTTTAACCCTTATCGTTCCAAGAACGCCTGTCGGGCGTCCCTGTTTCACGTATCTAAGATCGCGGTCGGAGCGACGAGGATTAAAAGATCCCGCGGCTCGGTTATCAGTGCGGCCAGTGGTATCCACGCTTTTCCACGGTTGTGCGCGCTTGTGTCGGTGTGTCCTGTCGTCTTGCGAGAAGCGAGAGAAGCCGTTATTAATTCCAAGCGTACAACGAACGCCACCAAGAGGTGCCGCGTTCTCCATCTAGCCCAACATCTATTTTATACTTTATCATTATCCCAAACAAGCGTTATCGTCGATCGTTTCGTTGACTCGCACGAGTCGCACGGCGAAAAAGAATCATCGACGACGCGACGATACCAGTCGATCTACAGACGTTGTTTGTTATGCTCGAATCGGCGGAGTCCTCCCCGCCGATTATCGCGTCGTTATCGCGGTGCATGCGGGCTTTTCATTTGCACGAGAAGAGCTCGGCATGCCGGGGCAACGTTTCGCGCGCGACGTTTCAGGGCGAAAACGTACGAGCAATTACGTATATCGCGTGCGTGGGCCGACAGCGTGGCAGCAATTATCGCCTCGAGCCACCGTTCTCGAATTCTTTCTCGTCCGTGCGTCCTCGAAGCTCGTCGTCGAGGGACACCCGTCCTCGGGAGAGTGCCCCTCTAACCCTCTCTTTCTCTCTCACCGTCTCGGCAGGTTCGTGTATTTCTGTGACAAGTATTATCTCACCTCTTACCCCTGAGTCGCAGAGACTGGAATGCTGCCGTAGTTGTAGTAGTAGCATCTTGTCTGCTCGCAGATGAAGTCCTTAACCAGGGTGCAGTCCTGCGCCTCCCAGGCTAACGTGGGTGCCACCATCGCGACGCAGCCGTCCGCGCTGCCGCTGTCGCCGCTGGAAAAGTCACACGGAGTTCCGTTTCTGAGCCTCCTCCATTAGGCGCGCGTCGGAACACGATCGCCGAGTCGGCGCACGTGTTTCCGGGTGGAGACGCGACCGACCGACACCGATAATCGTCGTCCGTGTTCGTGTCTATTGTCTTTCCGGCCGAGACAGCCATCTTTGTCCCCGCGGACTCGCGACAGCGGTTTCCGGTCCCGCGAGGGGCTCCCGACCCCCACGGGGTCACGGACAGGTGCGCGTCTCCTTCCGGACACCGACCGCACCTCTCGCGGAGGTCTTCGACCCCGTCGGGATCCGCTCGCGAGAGAAATCAAACACGCTTTAACGCGCCTCCCTTATAGCCCTTCGAAACGAGGCAATCTCGGCGAGAGCAATTTCGAAGACGAACGATCGTGGATTCTCGAAATTGTTCGGCTGTACGGATAGGCCGGGTACTTTGTGCGCCGGGAGAGAGAGAGGTGGTGGGAACAGGAGAGACAGGTTTATCTCGAACGAGGATTTTATGGCCGGTTGATTACCTTTCGCGAGCTACTCGTTGAGGCTCGGTGCCTGGTGGAACATCGACGGGTCTGTTGCCAGGTCGCCTGAGCATGTAGTTGAACGTGGCGTTGAACGGCAGGCCGGTGCTCATCCAGAGGAACATGTCCGTGCCCAGCTTGTTGCCCGATGTCCAGAAGTCGTACTTCACGTAGCCGGCGTTCTTCAAGTACTGCGTCATCGTGTCGGCCTTTTCTTTCGTCTCGAAGGAGGCCAGCTGCAGACCCAGGGAGCGACAGTACTGGTACGCGAGGAAGTAGTTCAGCTCGGGACTGTACGGGTTCATCCTCGAGACGAAATACTGCACGCCGTCCAGCTGGATCGTCGTGATCCTTTGAGCTGCAAATTGATCTTAAGTGATACGCGGCCCGAATTCCCGCGGATCGACCGAAACTCTCGCGGCCTTTTCTCAACCGTAAATACAGTAAATTCTCCCCAATTGGCTCTCGGCTTGTAAACAAAAATGGATAACATGAGACGCGGTGATACGATTATTCGAGCCTCGCGGCTCGTTTTTACAGTTGTTGATAATCGGTAACTATAAAAACGAGCCGCGAGGCTCGAATAATCGTGTCCCCGCTTTCTAAGTTGTCCATTTTTTCCCCTCGGGAACAATTGGGGAGAATTTACTGTAGTTGGTTCAACGCATACAAAAAACTAATACTGCGCATTGTTGATTGCTCGCTTTCCACGCGTCGAGGGAAATTGCCTGGGATATACAATATATACAATTTAACAAAGCCGCAGATTGCATTTTCGCAAAGGAAAAAGTTACTTAGAATGACCTCAGCTGCCCCACATTTCCGTATTGCGAGACATTTTTGGAACACTCTGTATAATTTCGTGGAGATACAGCGTGTCTTGTGAACTCTGTTCACTTAACCGTTTGAGTCCCAGGGGTTATCCAGAAAACACGGTCGAAAAGTGTCGAACAGCGTGATAGCGCTTGTCTTAATTGATTGCGAAGAGAACCAAGCGGCGCGTTAGCGCTCGTTAAGATTGACAAACAAAACATACAGAAAAAAAAGAAAAGTAAAGCAGCTATGCGATGTACGCGCGTCACTAAAGTTTGACGCGACACAAAATCTGAACAGCGCGATCGCGCTGCTTGGTACTCAAACGGTTAAACATCTTGGTTGTTTCAAGCAATGCGAGGAAATATTACCTATAAAAGTTATAGCATTTAACCAGTTAACTGTGGCGATCTCTTTGCAAGGCGCGATAAGCTCTCGTGTCGCGACGAGTCAGCTCTCAGGAAGTTACGAATCCAATTCAAATTATTTGTAATTTTCATTTGTTTGTTTCATTTCGTCTTGACCTCTAAACATTTTAAACAGATTAAAATTTACGAATATAATTTAGTTTTCGCCAGAATTACAATTCAAATATCAAATTGTAACGAAATTTTACGAATGACGGATATAATCGTCGTGACACAAAATTCTGCCACATCTCCGTGACGGATATAGTCGTCAAACACACTTAACTGGTTAAGAAAGTACATAATACGTATAATATAAATGGTATTCCTGCAAGTTCGAATGCTCGACTTCGATAGATCGGCGTGTTGCGAGTATACAAGTATGTACCAAGGTGCACTTGTCCTAAAACTTACAGTTTCTGAGATGTTCCAACGATATAAGACGTGTATGGAACGCTACAGTTTAAAGACTACGACGGTGTATCGCTGCGGATGGCCGACATTTCGAACACGCTTCGCGAAAAAGTTAAATATGTATCTCAGAAACGGTGAGTTGTAGGACAAATGCACCTTAAAGCTGTCCAAAGCGATCGAATCGGACGAATTTTCGTCGACACCCGGTGTCGAGTGTGCCCGCCGAGAGTGCAGGAATTCGAGACGAATGTCTCGAAGTCAGGGCGAAACGATCAAAGCTATCGTGTCCTCGTACGTCAGAGATGAATTTTCAGTAAGGTCTCGGAATTAGGCATGCATATATTCTGATCGATGCCTCGCGTCGATGATGTCATCGTCGCGAGGCTTCGTACAGGTGTCGCATCGATACACCGGGGCACAAAAGCGACCTATCGAAGTCGGCGGGGTCCCCGTGACCGCTGAACAAAGAAGGAAATTCCTTTCTTGCCCCTGTATTATCTCATCGAGGCACGTCTCTCTACTACGTTGACTTCCGACCGAGCCGCAAACGGCAGTCACAGACGCGGGAAAAATCATCCGGTGAATTCTAATATACCCGGTGTCCCGTTTCAGCGTCGTCGCGTCGAACCGTTACGCGCGTCAGCGACTATTAAATCATCTCATCGACGCGTAACGATGCTTCGAACCATAGTGCGAACTCGAAGCATCGCTCATCGTACAACCCTGTTTTCGAAGTACAGTAATGTCTCCCTAATTGACGCTCGGATTGTCCACATAAATGGACAATTTTGGAATAGGAGATACGATTATTCCGAGCCTTGTAGCTCGTTTCTTATAGTCGTTGACAATTCGTAACCATAAAAAACGAACTACAAGGCTCGAATAATTGTATCACCTCTTCCCAAATTGTCCATTTTTCTGCACATTCTAAGCGTCAATTAGGGAGACATTACTGTATTCGTGCTGCCGACCGGAGCATTCGATCGGAGCATTCGATTTTGGATTACCCCTTCCTCTCCCGCCGTCCATCGAGCTCGCAGCGATGGTTCACGGTTGTTTACGAAGCGAGCGCCGACATTGCCGAGCCCGGGACGCGTTCGCAGCGCTGAATCATTCTCTCTAACGCGATTTTAATTTACCTTTGACTGTGTACACTTCACTGACGCTGTCCGTTTCAGCCGGAATGACCACTCGGCGGTTCTCGCGCTGCGGCGGCGAGAGAAAGAGAGAGAGAGAGAGAGAGAGAGGGAGAGGGAGAGAGAGAGAGAGAGTTCGTTGAACTTGTACGGTTATTTGGTTAACAGGACTCGTGAATTACGGCCCGTTTTGACCCCCGAATAGCCTCGGGACTAACGCGTTCTCGCTATTAATTTCTGCTCGTCACGGAACTCCGCGACGATCGCGAGTCCGACGGAAAGTTTCGCGTTAATTCGTAGATCTCGACGGATCCCGCGGAATCGAGGAAGTCTCTCGGAGGAAATGAAATCAGGCTGCGATAACGTTCGCAGGGTGCGTCCGGTGTAAAAATGTTCCGGATCGCGAAGCCGGCGGCGCAGGTGGCGGTAAACGACCTGCAGACCTTGAGACGTCTGCCGGCGCTGTTCCCGCGAAGGAAGACAGCCGCCAGACGCCTTTGATCGCGATCGCTAGCAGGAATTATGCCACTTGCGCCGCAATTAACCGGGCCCCTATGACACCCAGCTACCAACGCACACCGAATAGAAAACACTCGACAGAGAGAGAGAGAGAGAGAGAGAGAGNCCTTTGATCGCGATCGCTAGCAGGAATTATGCCACTTGCGCCGCAATTAACCGGGCCCCTATGACACCCAGCTACCAACGCACACCGAATAGAAAACACTCGACAGAGAGAGAGAGAGAGAGAGAGAGAGAGAGAGAGAGAGAGAGAGAGAGAGGGAGAAAGAGAGAGAGAGAGCCCGCAGGCGAACGTAGATTCGCTACCGTAATCGGACATTTGAAATTCAAATGCGTCGTTTCGTCGAACAGCCCTGAGGGAACGGCCGTGAATTTGGGACCGGGGGAAAGAACGATCTTCGGATCGAAGCGGAGGAACGATCGAGAACGGACGAACGAACGATCTTGGAGCCGCGTGCGTGTTTCATTCTCGGTCTTTGAATGCACCGGACGTCGGAAAATAAGAGCGCGAAGACCGAACAAAGGCAGCGAGGATTGGGCCGCATGGAGGAACAACGTGTACACGGTTCCACAACACTGGTCGAGGATCGCCGAGAAGATCCTTCAAAGAGGAGAAGCTATCTTGGCAGACGTCCAACGAGCAAAGTCTCCGATCGATCGAACGCTCGGCGAACCGAGTAACCGAGCCGGGTGGTCCGAGCGCGGTTGAACCGAGTCGCTGAAACGACCAAGCTTCTCTAGGACCTAGCAGAGACCGAGGTTTAACTTCGAAGGAATTTCCTACGGTTTTCCAATCGCGAAAGGGCCCCTCACCGTGCGACGCTGGCCCGGCGAATCTCGGGAAGGAAATCCGACCATGCAACGCGACGGAATCATCGATATTGCAACCGGTTTCGCGATGATTATGCGACGATCAATTAGGTCCGCGATCGAAAGCTCCGATATGCCCGAGATTGCGAGCGAGTTGCTCGGAATGTTTGGTACGCACCTGAGGCGAAGGCCGCGACGGCCAGCAGCAGCAGCAGAGCGATCTTCATGTTGCCGTGTGTCGATTAATCGATCAAGCAGCCGTTTCCGTTTCCGACTCTCGGAATACACCGGATGTTAGTGTTAGGGTCGCGTTCTCGGACTGGCCTCGCGCTGCGCCGTGGGCCCCCTTAAGAGTCTTCTGCCCGGATCCCAGAGGAGGGGGTCGTTGAAGATGATTCACTGGCTAACCTAGAGCAGGACGAGCGAGCCCACGAAGGGACGCGGGCACGAGCGGGACAGCGAGACGTCGACTGGGGATACGGGACGAACCGAACCGAAATGTAATCGACTTCGTCCTCCTCTTCTGCTATTCTGCCAAAGGCCGGCCGTAGAAAGAAAGGTGGCAGGATCGACGGGAGAAGAGGGAAAAAAAAGAAGGCGAACGCCACGCTCGCGTCGGCCCGAGAGGACGACGACGACGCCGACGACGACGACGGCGATGATGATGCGGTGCGTTCGTTGACACGGGTCCCCGCTTGAACTTTGCTCGATCGGCAAAGCTTCCGAGCGAACAAAGGCTTCCTCTGGCCGGCCGCGACACGGATTTCTTTATTGCCGGATCGCGGCGCGAACATTGACAAGATGGAAGACGATCGGCGGCTTCGAGGGGCCGGCGATTCGAGAGAAGCCTGCCGGTTTTACGAGGCGTCGGAAAGATCGTTTCATGGCGAACTCGCGGTCCGATCTATTTGGAGTGCCGGTGCACACTATTAATAACGTGGTCCCCGTCGTTTCGTTTGTTTTGCGGGGGAACAGAGCCGCGCGAGTCGGGTCGAAACTCTTCACGGTCTTCATCGTCCTGAATGGAATCGTATCGGCGACGCCGGCCGCGCAAAAACTATGCCGGCCTCAAGGTAGACTTCATTTCTGAGCGTGCCCGTCGACGAGCGGCCGCGCTGCCGCGCGCCGCGCCGCATACCATCCCTCAAAATCCTCTGGGATCGAGAACGACGTCGTTCGGGTACCGGTTAATTAGTGGTAACGTCGTGGAGCCGCGAGCGCCGCCGATCCGGTCGAATCGACGCGTTTTTCACCGGGAAATCGCCCGTGGTTGGCGTCGGCCCGATCGTCGCTCCCTTCGGAGCCCATCCGGATTTCCTCTAAGCCCGGCGACGCGACGTTATAAATTCCATCGGCCGGCCGTTAATTACTCGGACAGGCTGGCACGGTCCCGCGGTCCCGCCGCCGAGCATAGGCGATCACGGCGATCACGGGGATCACGGGAACGATCGCGAACGGCGCGCTCAATATATTGCGCTGCGGTTCTTGCGGAGACGCGGTGGAATCTCCATGAAAGTCGGTGCGCAACGAGGTTTTGAACCGGTTCCCTTGTTAAGCCTTTGGCGCCGTCTATTCTTATTCCCCGATCTTACCCCGTTGCTCAGTTTTTTTCCCCCGCTGCCCTCTATCTGCCCTCCATTAACGGAGGCGGTATCTTCGGTGTCCGAGAGAAAAACGTATAATCGTTTTGCAATCGTTTAAACGCATCCGAGCGAACGGACGAGCTGACGAGCGAGCGAGCGAGCGAGCGAGAGGAGCGAAGCGGAGCGGATTTTTCCCGCGTTTAATGCGCGGCTACGCGTTCGAACCGCCTGGGAAGGGGGACGAAGCGAGGGGAGCTGTCGGTTCAGGGTCCGCGGCGTTAATTACCCCAATCTCGACCGAGTAGACCGCCATTACGATACCGAGAAGGCTCCCAGGTATCTTCCCCTCGGTAACGAACGATTTTCATCCGCGGGAACGAGCGCGAACCCTGTCGGTATTAGCACGTTAATGCACCGAAGCCGCCCACCGCCGGCTCCCTCCGATGAGATTCCTCGGCGGAGCTCGTCGGCTGTGGGTCCGTTCGCGCGGGACCGTATCGGCAGGCCGCAAAAAGGCCCCGTGGCTCAAGGTAGGCTTCATTTCTGACCGCTCGCGTCTTCTTGCTCGAGGGATCACCCGCTCCTGGAGTACGTCTTCCCGCGGTCGATTCTCTTCTCAGACCCATCTCTCTCCTCTCTCTCTCTCTCTCTCTATCTATCACTCTCTCCTCTCTCTCCTCTCTCTCTCTCTATCACTCTCTCCTCTCTCTCCTCTCTCTATCACTCTCTCTCCTCTCTCTATCACTCTCTCTCTCTCTCTCTCTCTCTCTCTCTCTCTCTCTCTCTCTCTATCTATCACTCTCTCCTCTCTCTCCTCTCTCTCTCTCTATCACTCTCTCCTCTCTCTCCTCTCTCTATCACTCTCTCTCCTCTCTCTATCACTCTCTCTCTCTCTCTCTCTCTCTCTCTCTCTCTCTCTCTCTATCTATCTATCTATCTATCTATCTATCGCTCTCTCTGTCTCTTTCTCTCTGTCCTTCTCTTTTTCTTTCTCACTCCGGGTCCACCGGGTCGTCTCGGTTACGATGGCAACCGGTACCGAAGAGAACCTCTTCGTTGTCCGTTCGCGTCACGCCGATATCCTGTAACGTCGCTGGATCATAGACGTTATTGCTGCGCCAGCAGCCGGAACGAGGTCTCGCCGTAACTCCAGCAACGGTCCCCTCCCTCTGTACCGGCGCGCTCGTAGCCCGAGACTCGGCATTTTCACGGCGTGGACGCGCGGCGGGTCTGGCGTCGGTCGATTTAGGGGCACGATAACTCGGCGGGACAGGTTCGCGCCGGCTCTCCGCGGAATTACGGGAGCCGCGTGCTTCATCATGGGACACCGACGCCCCGTCGATCGTAAATAGACTCTCGTGAGAGAATCTCGCACGTGGGCTTCGCGCTTATCATCCACCTTCGTCGATCGGTTCTATCTTTAGGCTCCGCGCAACTTTTACCGAGATGGAGCTCGGAGGAGGACGCGGTGACCCCCGGGGTCAAGCCAGCGCGCGCGCGCTCCGTTCCGGAGTCCCATTATTTTTCACGGGGTTCCTCGAATCGCGGACGGGCTGCGTCTCGACCTCTACGAATTTACTACGACTCGGAATCGGTTCGTTAACAAACACGACGCGCTCTTATCGGGCTCGGAGCGAACCAGGAGCAAAAAGGAAGCTGGACGTGGCCTAGGCTTGCACGGAGAGTGCCCGTGGCTCGTTGCGTGGGTCACGTTTTGCTGGTACGTTGGCGCAGGTCAGTTTAGCAGGTCGGATTCCCAGCGACGCATGCATTCCCACGGGAATGCGGTCCGTGAGCTCTCGTCGAGTGCACTTAGGTCCGGAGATGCCTACGGGGGTCTGTTCGTGGCCATATATCGGCGGACGAAACGAAAGCAGAAGCTCGATCCTGGATAAACAAGCGATCCTCCACCACCTAGCCCTTCTCTCTTTCTCTCCCTCTCTCTCTCTCTTCTCCTCGCTCTCGTTCTCGTCTCGGTTTCTCACTCTCTCTCTCTCTCTCTCTCTCTCTCTCTCTCTCTCTCTCTCTCTATCGTCCTCGTTCCGCCATTTCCCTCGGTCCTGCTCGCACGAACGAGATGCTAGAAACAACTTCTCCCAGCCGAGAGTCAAGAGAGGCTTGGTCCTTTTTTGCGAAAACAAAAGCAAGAGAAACGCCGTGCTCGAGCTGCAGGCAACTGCTCGACGAAGAGCCAGAAGAAGAAGAAGAAGAAGAAGAAGAAGTAGTAGAAGAGGAGGAGGAGGAGGAGGAGGATAAGAAGGAGGTGCTCGGCGGAGGAGGCGAAGCAAGAGAGGAGCGAGAGGATGCTACAGGAGGATTCTCGAGGTCTATTTCAGGCCCTGCCAGCAATCGCTATGTAAGGCCCTCGTTCTTTCTATCTTTCTCCCTACTCCCCGGAGTCCTCTGTTCTTCTCCGCGTTAGCCTGGCCTGTCCCTTTTCCATCCAGCCTCGCCTCGTCTCTCTCGCTCGTGTCCGCTTGATCGTTGACTCTCCGGAGAACGAAGAACGGCGAACGGGCTCGGTTTTAGCCCGCGAATAGCCTCGACGTCCGAGACGATCGCCGGAGCCATACCGGCCCCGGAGGCTTCGACGCCGTCCACTCTTCCATTTTGATGCTTCTAGGACAGTGATCCTCGTCATCCTTGCCATCGCGCGGCTCCCCCCGCTGCCCTCCCTCTGCTGCTCGCCCGGCACGCCGATATCCATCGATATATCCGCTGGTAAAACGTCCACGGAGTTAGGTTCAACCCTCGCCGCCTCCCTCTCTATCGACGTACCTGTCGGCGATCCCGCCTCGTGACAAGAATTACAGTCAGTCCCCCGGGTTCTTCTCTTTCGTCAGGCGACGGGATTTACGGGCCGCGAGGGAGACACGATCGAGGGCCCGATTATACTGAACAGAAATTCGAAGAGTGGCCTTGCACACCTTCCAGCTGCTCGGGACCCGCGATTCGAACGACACGGGCTTTCTTGTCCGACAAGATACCGTGGAATGGGTTCGCCCGATGACGAGTTACTTTGTCTTCGATAGGGGCTGGCTTGCGCGCTTCTCCGGTCTCCGCATCGTCACTCCCGCGGCACGACAGTCTCACCGGCTGGAACCGGCGACGAAGGAAATTCGCTTATCACGAGAAAGTTTCTTTTCTCGCTTGCCCACGGACCTTCCCGCTGGACCTTCTGCAGAGTCGCGAACGCTCCGTTGCGGAGGCGCAACCGCCGCGGCGCCGTGGTTCATCGATTACGTGCCCACGCCTTGTTATGCTGTCCCGCGCGCATATATTTAGACGGCCCTTCTGCCCGCTGGATTTAATGCGATTACAGTATGCCGCGGGAAACAGCGAAACAGCGAGACTCGACGCGAAGAGGGGGTGGGCGAGCGAGGGGGGAGGGCACGTAATCCTGCCGCCGCCTCTAAATCATTGTTGCGTCGCCTTTGGTGGTCGGAGATATCGCGCGCGTAGTCGGGCGGGTAAGAATTGGGCGAAACGCTGCACGCTCCGGCGATACTCTCGCGAATCGATCGTATCTCGCGGCGCGATTCGTCGTTCGGGAACGCGGCGTTATGTAATGAAACGAACGCGATTCGGTCCTCGGTCGGACCGTGAACGGGGACTAAAAACGGGGGGAGGGGGGGTGTCTCGTTCGGGGAACGGCGCGAATGAAAGAGGCCAGAAGGCAGGCGCGTGTTTTGCCGGCCGATGAAAAGCACGGAGGCAGAGCGTCGGCGCCGCAATACCAGTGATCGCCGATAGAATGCAGAAATGGATGGTAATAACAGCCGTGGCCCGCGTACGACCATTAAATGCACCTTGTGCTGCCCACCGTTTTACTCCGGGCCCCTGGTTCTTGCCGCTGTTACGTGCCCCGGCCGGCCGGGCCCGGGCAACGGAGTGACCTAGAACCTGAAACCGTGAACCTCCGACGTTCTGGTTGCGGTTACAGGTCGGCTTCTCTCCTCTCTCTCTCTCTCTCTCTCTCTCTCTCTCTCGCCTCTCTCCCTCTCTCCACCTCTT